CATCATCATCCTCAAGATAAAAACTGAAGTTGTCAATAAGAACACATTGAACAATCATAGAGTGAATAGAAGCAAAGGGGAAGAAACCAAAAAATATCTATCATCACCCAGACCACGGTTTTGAGGCCAAGGCCAATGGGGACAAGAGCGATAATGTAGTCTGTTTTCTCATCAATAAAATAGCATATTAAAAATAATAGGGTTATTTTGAGAGGATAAGATAGAGTCATGCATATAAAACAGATAGCCCATAATAAAACAAAGAAACACCACTGTTATTTCCCCATGAACAAGATAGTCTCCAATGCAACCAAGTGTTTAAGGAAAGGTTTCTTTTTCTACTACAACTTGAACCCAGTAAGATATTACACATAACAAGTATCAAAAGAAAAATTATTCCTGAGAAAATATATATGATTGAATTATGACTCTGAAAGTGTCCCAGGGTGTCTTTGATGTTTACCTACAGTGACATCAAACCATCTTAAAGACAACTGGCATTATCCTCCTATGCTAGTGTCTCCTGGCCTGATTCTGAAAACCTGTTTCTCCAAATAAGTAAAGATTTCTGAACTTCCCAGGAGAAAGGGGTTTCTGTCTCTGGCTTCTTTGCTGAATTAAAGGGAAGGCATACACCTAGTGTGGCCTGAGGGAAAGACAGAGAAACAGGTGAGACTCACCAGGAAATGGAGGGAAAAAGGCAAAGGCGGGGAGGGAGAAAAGAGGCAAGATCAACTAAAGGCAAATCCCTAGGAAGAAAAGAAAAACAAAGGAGACCTTTGTTCTGTGAGTTACCACCTTGTCATTTCATATCAAACAAAATGCTGCTATTTACATCATCATCCTAGAGATAAACACTAAAGTTGTCAAGAAGAACAAACTGAACAATCATAGAGTGAATGGAAGCAAGGGGAAAAACCCGGAAAGAATCTGTCATTACCGAGACCATGGTTTTGAGGCCAAGGCCAATGGGAGGGAACAAGAGCGCTAACACCTTCCTAAGGCTTTAGGGAGACACTCCAAGAGCGTATGGAACCAGGGTCCAGATTAGGGAATGGTCAAGGGTAGGTGAGAGATGTGCCTTGTTCAGGGTCCCATGGCCATAAATGGTGGGACACAAACCCACACACAGAGCTTCCTCCTCACGCCATGCAAAGCATAGGGTGACAGTTTGCTGGCACAGTGTTACCCAATTCACCTATTCCTTCATCGCTGAATTGTCACATTTTAAAATAAATGCATTCCTTGGTTTTCTCTCTGCCTTCTTGAACAATATCCCATTCCCTACAACATGTCTTCTTTGGCTTCCTTGATTTCTCCTGTCTCTTCTCTGTGCCAGAACCGGCACTGACTCTCAGGTTGGCTTGCCTTGTCGCAGTGGACACTTAATAGTAGAGGTCTCAGTTAAAGAGGATGCAGACATAGAACTCTGAAGTCAGTCACCTACTTCCCCGTCTGCCTATACATTGGGCTCTAGTACTCTTGCTTTCTGCCCATAGCTGAGAGAAGGTGCTGTCTCAGCACCTGGCTCTGTTGGCACTAACATTCACAAGTCATCTCCCTGACTAGCACCTGCCTTCCCTGAGCACAGCCAAATGAATCTTGGACCTGGGCCCTGGCCAGTGGTAGGGCCCAGAGGCTACCCTGGCCCTCCAGCTTTTCTTCTTCCTCTCTCTCTCTGTGTCTCCTACTTCCTAAAGTAACCAAAGGCTCAGCCCAAAAGAAGTCCTTTGCCTTCCCCAGGTTTCTTGGCTGACAGGCTGGTGAGCTCCGCGAGACTGCACAGATGGCAGGAGATCCCAAGCCTCCTTGTCCACAGTATGACTTGGTCACAACCTTGAGATCACATGTCTCCCCCTACTCGGGTCTCCCTTTTGTCTCAGCCCTGGACCCCTGCCCCATTAGGGGGGTCTCGGTTGACACTGCTATTTCTGAGGGTGAAGAGTCCTCCTGGTGCCTCACTTCCTGTGGAAGGTCTTGCCCCATGGAGCAATAAACGGGTCCCCTAATTCAGCTCGGGGGCCCAGCTTCCTCCTCTGTTCTTCTATGCTTGACTCAGGCTGGCCCAGTGAGGAGTGGCTCAGGACCTCAAATGAGTGTATGGACTGGGGGAGATGGGGGCAGCAGCTGAGTTCCATGCAGCCTGGAAGACCACTGGCACCCATGTTGCCCATAGCTTCTGAGGACACAGGAGTCTCAGACATCCACACTGACAAAGCACAGGCCAAGAAACTCCCATCGCAAACTTTCTGGGGCTGGAGGAACTTGACCAGACTTCTTGGGGACCTTTTCTAAAGGCACCAGAACACCTTTTCTGTAGACAGCAGGTTAGGGAGTAAAGAGTTCTGACAGTGTCTATGGCGGGACCTGAGCACTAGACAAGGCAGGTCTTGTCTCTGCTGTCCACACCAAGTCAACCCTCAGCAGTGACTCCCCACAGACCTTCCACCTCGAAGGCTGTTCTCTGCCTAGTGAAACAGTCAAGGAGATCGAATTGTGGAACTCCTGAAAGCACCATCATCTCCGAAGTTTCCCCTGATGACTGTGCGGAGCGTTCAGAAATCCAGTGGGCAGAGGAGCAGGGAGTGGAATGTTTCAAAAACTCTGGAGTTAAGAGGACTTAACTGGATTTAGGTCCCAGTCTCGATTTTCTCATTTCAATCATGGGGTAATAATAATCCCTCTATCATATGGTGGCTACAAAATCAAACCACAACTTTGAAAGCACTTTGTCAACAGAAGTCAACTATTTCTTGAGGAGGGTCTATTTCTTTAAAAGTAAGCCACAGGAGCTAAGAGCCCAATAATAGCAGGAAGTGGAGTATATTCAAAGTCTAACGCCTTGAACTCCAATGAACTTTGGCAGTGCAGAGGGCAAAGGTATGAAGGGGTCCTTCCTCCTGGGCCCCTGAGAGTGTCTGTAAGGGGCATCCCGTGCCCTCCACTACAGGCTCTGGTGAGAGGAGCCGGGCATTCACAGCATTTTCTCAGCATCCTGCCTGCTGAAAAGCCCTTGGGGCACCTCTGAAAAGAAGCAGGGCAGCACCACGTCATTAAAATACTATTATCAATACATAAGATTCACCTCCATGCTAACCAAGCACAAGATCATTGAGCCCAACCCAACATTTTCTGGGTCAGAAACTTGAATTTGGAGCCTGATAGTTTGATTTTTAACAAGATCCTCAAGGGTCAAATTCCAGTCCACTACATTCACAGCTGTGTGACCTTGGGCAGATGACTAAACCTCTCTGAACCTCTGTTTACTCATATACAGAGGGACTCAGGGTCTTTATCTGAGCTGCCCTGAGTCTGGGGGCAACCATGGGCCTCACTCACCTTTTAGGGGCATAATCTGCCACTGAGAGTGCAAGGGGATTTTTAGGGACTTCTCCAGAGGAGACTGGAATTGGCTAATCTCCTCCAACTAGGAGGCCCATCTCAACTATTGAATCTAGAGTCCAGAAGCATACAACAGGATGGCAAGATGGACTGAGCTTTATTGTTGTTGTTGTTGTTGTTGTTGTTGAGTCAGTTCCAACTCATAGTGATCCTGTATAGGGTGTCCAAGGAGCAGCTGGTGAGTTTGAACCACCAACCTTGTGGTTCAAGCCAATCTTATGGTCCAGTGCTTTATCCCACAGTGCCACACCAGGTTAAAGCCACATGCCTGCCAAGTCATGGGACCTTAACATAGTCCCGGTGAGTCCTAAGGGCCATCTACAGCTAGTGCCTCTCTTGGGGTGAAAGAATAAAAGGGGCAGTGGTAATGGGCATCCTGGGCAGACCCAGTCCCAAGCCCCAAATCCCCAGGAAGGGCAGGGGGGAGGAAACGTGGGATAGGCCCACCCAAACTACACTGACTGTGGGTGTGGTCGTCAATCCCTTCAGTCTTGAGTTTTCCATCTGGAAACTGGTTACTTGTAAGAAAGTGCAATAGGAAAGTAAGGGACCAATGTCCAACTCAGCAGCCTGTTCAGGCTCAGTGGATGGAGCACTCTGCTGTCTCAGGACTTGGCTGAGCTGTTTCCTCAGACTGAGCTTCAAGTTCCTATGCTGGTTATTACACATTCAAGCCCAGGGGACCTTGCCAAGGACCACAGCAGGAACTTAAGGCGACTACGCAAGGAAAACATTTTCCTCTCTCTCTCTCTCTTTTTAAGTAAACCTTTTATTGTGCTTTATGTGAAGGTTTTACATAGCATATTAATTTTCTTTTTCGTTTTTATTGCTGTTTGTATATTGCCTTCCCCACCACCGAAATTAACACATGTCTAAGGAGCTCTGGTAGCGTAGTGGTTACGAATCGGGCTGCGAACCTTAAGGTCAGCGGTTCAAGACTACCAGTCTCTCCGCGGTAGAAGGATGAGGCTTTCTATTCCCGTAAAGATTTACACCCTCGGAAACCCTGTACAGGGTCGCTATGGGTCGGAACCGACTCAACGGCATTTAACAACAACAACACACTCCAATCCTAGGAAACCCTGTACAGGGTCGCTATGGGTCGGAACCGACTCAACGGCATTTAACAACAACAACACACTCCAATCCTAGGAAACCCTGTACAGGGTCGCTATGGGTTTGAATCGACTCTATGGCACTTAACAACAACACTCCAGTCGTGGAGCGCGGCGGCTCCATATGATAAGCATGGGACTGCGAACCACAAGGTCCAAGGTTTGAGCCTCCAGCCACTCAGCAGGAGAAAGATGAGGCTTTCAGCGCCTCAGAAACGCTATCCAGGCGCGCTGAGAAGGCACTGAATGGCAACACCTTGGAGCCAGCAGCTTCCTCTCTCATCCCCACAGCCCAGGATGTTTCTTTCAGTTTGGGAACACTTTCTGGGGTGAGGAAATCCAGCTTTGAGGAGCCCCTTATTCTGTCACAGATTTGGGATCAGAGTGACACCCGAGTGGGGGAAGGCGCACTCCGGGTCCACCGAGTTCCCTCGGGCCGCTTCCCTGCGCCCAGCCCCGACTTCCCGGCCCCCTTGGGCTCACCTGCTGTAGACCAGGCAGCCCAGGTGGTTGATCTCGTGGTCGGAAAGGTGGCGGCTGTAGTCCTCCCACAGATCCTTGAAGGCTGTGACGGCCAGGATGAAGAGCACCGGCGCCAGCGCCAGGCCCGGCTGGAAGGCGTTCACCGCCGGCACGAAGTTGAGGAGCGCGATGAAGACGAAGTACACGTTAGCCAGGCGGTGGAACTGCTCGAAGAGGTTCTTGGGCAGGAAGGACAGAAGCGTGTACTTGGTGGTCTTGAGCCGGTTGTCCGCCAGGTGCTGCGAGCCCTTGGCTGCGCCCGCCGCAAACTCCTCAGCACTCGGCGGCTGCAGCAGGTTGGAGCGCACCCTGCGCGTCAGGCCCTCCCGCCGCCGCCGCCGCCGCCGCCGTCTCAGCTGAGGCGCTTTCTCTCGGTGCTCCTCTACTTCCGCCCGCTCGCGCTCCATGGCCGCGTGTCGCTGAGCCCGCATCTAGGTAATCATCGCCGGCTGCCTCCCCGCCTGCCTGCTGGACGCACAGAGACGCCGGTCAAAGCGCCGCCCGCTCCGCCCCTGTCCCCGTCCCCGCGCCGGCGCCCCACCTTGCGGCTCCGCCAGCGCGCAGTCTGGCCGGGCGAGAGCCCCCTTGGGCGCATCGCCCAGCCTACCGGTGCACGCCCCTTCGCTGGGCGCCCGGCCCAGCACTGGTGATGGTAGTGATGATGTGCCATGGAGTCAGTCCTAACTCACAGCGACCCTATCGCTAGGATTTCCAAGGAGCGGCTGGTGGGTTTGAACCGCCAACTGTGTGGTTAGCAGTCCAGTTCTTGATCCTTCAGCGCCACACTGGAACTCCAGGGCCCAGAAGTTGGCTAAATGCCAAAGTTGGCAACTTTAGCGTTCCTTCCTTTTCCCAAAAGGGTTGGTGTCGTCCCAGAGCAATGGGGACGTGTGGCCCACAGAGAGTGGGAGCTGCAGAGAGTGTGGGAAGGAAAGCTTTCAGTTTCCTCACAGCCCAGACTGCTCAGGCCCTGAGCCTGGGAAATGGTCTTGGGGAACCCAGAATATAGGATTCTCCTTTGGAATCAATTAGAAATCCAAATAGCCAGGGCGTCCTGGTATGGAGCCCAAGCATAAGCACTCGACTTCAAGGTCGGTTTGTACCTTCAAGTTTGGCGGTTCAAACTCACCAACCGCTCCTCAGAAACCTTATACAGGGCTGCTGTGAGTTGGAATCACCCAACTGAAGGGCAATTAACATTGCATTGACTGAGGGCATCTGCTTCCTGAAGCATCCTGAGAAGGGAGGGTCACTGCCCTGGAAACCTCCCCAGCATCCTCTCCTGAGCAGCTCTACCTATTTTCAGACTCAAGTGTTGGGTGAAGTAGTCCTTTTCTCCTTGGTTGTCTCTGTGATTGTTACTCCCTTTCCCCTAAATGAGAAGTTTTTAGGTGGGGAGGAGACTGTTGCTATAGCAATATGTCTTTCTCTTTTCCTCCCTGGTAAACCATAGGACCAAATGATACCAAGTTCTGAAGTGAAAGTTGTGATTCAGGTAAGTGACTGTGGAGCTGAGGAAGGCTGTTGTCAAGTGGAAGGAGGCTGAGGCAGAAGTGCCCAGGCTGAGGAGTCCCCTCCGTATTCCTGTGGCTAGGTGAGACAGGGGAGTGAGCTGAAGGGGGGCCCTGGGAGAGAATACTTGGGGAGGCAAAAGGAGCTTGAGAACCCCTCTTCTGCAGTAAGACTTCCCCAGATACACCCAGCTCTGATGGTTTATTTGTACTCATTTCAGAAGCCAGGGGGAAGGAGGCTTTCCTCAGGAGATCTTGTACTGGATAGTTTTGTAGGATGGGTACTTTGACCCCTGCCTGTCTGGAATAGGGAATGTATTGGCATCCTTCTCCTCCTGTAGGCCATCTAGTATGGGTACACATTTCCTGCATTGAGGCACTCTTTATTTCCTAAGAACCCCCTCTCCCACAACACCTCATAACAGTACCGACTGGTTGCCCAGATTTTGCCACTGGGTACCCATAGATGTGCACTTACCTGGCTCTGTGCAAAGGACTTTATTCCCTCTCCTTCCCTCAGGCTCTGCTCCCCTCAGTTAAACCAGGATCTTACAGAGAGAACTTTGCCAGAGACCACACTATATGTGGAAGCCAGCACAAGAGAATAGTGACAAGTGCTGAGACAAGAATACCCACCATAGATTAAGCCCTACTCAGACAAGGGATGGAGTCAGAGGTGGAGGCAAGTTTGAGCACCAGAGACCCAAATCAGATCAGAGAAAGTTCTGGTGGAACACCTGCATTCTCAGGGAAAGAAGTCAGATCTTACACAGACCAGTGATATCCTTAACTAAGTATCAATGACCATGAGGAATGACTGCAACTACCTTAGTTTCCATAGCCTGATTCCTCATGGCTTCATCTCTTCCTTACTCCTCAAGCTCAGTTGAACCCCAAGTCCTGCTGATTCAGTCCATTGCACAGGTATTCCCAGGACCTGACTGATATCCCCAGGTATCAAAAGACTCCCTGTGGGTCTGCCCCCCACCCAGGCCACCAGTTGCTTTACTTTCACCATTCCACACATGCTGCGAAAGGGATTACTTTGTCCCTGCTTTTCATTTCCTTACCCCATGCTTACGGAAGTCCCCTGAAGCTTATAAAGTCAAATTCTGACTCCTCAGGCAGTGGTATGAGGACCTGGAGAAAGCTGGGCACCAACTGGGGGATTTACTTCACCCCTCTGGCTCCCAGCCTAGCCTCAGGGCAGTGGGCATCCTTACCCTTCTCAGAACAGGCCTCCTTCACTCCCATCTACATTCCGATTTCAGGTTCTAAGATTCCATGAGTCACACTGCCCTGTGGAGCTGGAACCCTTTCTCACCTGCTATGCTCTTGTGTGCTCCCTCAGAATGCTCATTAGGGGTGTTGAGATTAGATATCATGTGCCAGCTATACTCTCAAGCTCTTGACTACAAAGGGAAGGGCAATATTCTGGGATGGCGGTCTGGACAGCTGAGTTCTGATGACTGCCAGACATCGCTTGTCACTGCTCAGCAAATACTTGCTAACCATCCACTGTGAGCCAGATACTGTTCCAGGCACTGGGGACACAGTGACGAATCATTGTCTACAACAGATCTTCTCATGGATCTTATATTCTAGTGGAAAGAGACAACAACCAAGAAAGAAATGGCAAATGCAGAGAGTTGTGAATGGCGAATTGGCGGAGTAAAGGGAGACATTAAAGAGGATTTCTTTGGAAAGAGATATTAAAGCCTAGATAAGAGAGAAGGAATAATTTCTCTTCAATAAATGGTTCTGGGGCAATAGGATTTCCACAAACTAAAGCAGAAAACCTGGACCCTGCTGCATACCATACAGGAAGACTAACTCAAAATGGAACAAAGACTTAACACCTTTAAAAAGGACCAACACTGCAAGTGTCAATAATTTGAGTATGGAATGCACAAAGTATGAATCTAGGAAACGTGAAAGACATCAAAAATAAAATTGAATGCATAAAGATTGATACCCTAAACATTGTTTTTAGGTACCGACAAGTCGGTTCTGATAGTGACCCTATATAGGTTTCCAAAAAGTAGCTGGTGAGCTTGAACCACTGACCTTGTGGTTCAAACCTACTTTGCAGTCTAGCGCATTAACCCAAACGCCACACCAGGCATTGTTGTTGTTGTTGTTGTTGTTGTTAAGTGCCGTTGAGTCGGTTCCAACCCATAGCGACCCTGTACAGGGTTTCCAAGGGTGTAAATCTTGGAAAGCCTCATCTTTCTCCCGCGGAGCAGCTGGTAGTTTCGAACCGCTGACCTTAAGGTTGGCGGCCCCATTCGTAACCACTACGCTACCAGAGCTCCTAGGCATTAGTGAGCTAAAATGGACTAGAATAGGCTGATGGAATCAGCCAATCATATGGTTTACCAACCCAGAATGACAAATTCAAGAGGAATGGCATTACATTCATTGTCAAAAAGAGCATTTGAAGCTCTATATTGAAGTACAATGTTGTCTAATAGGATAATATATATATATACACCTACAAGGAAGAACAGAATCCTGGTGTGGTTTGAACCACAAGGTCAGTAGTCACTCCTTGGAAACCCTATACATGGTCACTATGAGTCAGAACAAACTTGACTGAACTTAACAACAACAAGGAAGACCAGTTAATGCAAATACTATTTAAATATATACACCAACCACCCAAGCCAATGATGACAGAATTGAAGAATTCTACCAAGTTCTTCAATCTGAAATTGATCAATTATGCAGTCAAGATGCATTGGTAATGACTGGTAATTGTAATGCATAAGTTGGAAACAAAGAGGTAGGATCAATAGTTGGAAAATATGATACTGGAGCTAAAAATAGCATTGGTGATTACATGATAGAATTTGCAAGACCAACAACTTCATTGCAAATACCTTTTTGGAACAACATAAAATGGCGACTATACATGTGTACCTCATCAGATGGAATATATAGGAATCAAATTTACTACATCTGTGGGAAGAAACAATGGAAAAGCTCAAGATCATCAGCCAAAACAAGGCAAGGGTCCAACTGTGGCACAGATCATCAATTGCTCCTATGTAAGTTCAGGCTGAAGCTGAAAAAAAAAAGTAAAACAAGTCCATGAGAGCCAAAATAAGACAATGACTATATCCCACTAGTTGGGCTGCTAACCTCAAGGTCAGCAGCTTGAAACTACCAGTTATTCCGTGGGAGAAAAATGAGACTTTCTGCTCCCATGAAGATTCACAGCCTAGGAAACCCTATGCAGGTTTGCTATGAGTTGGAATCAGCTCCACGCCACATAACCACCACCACCACCAGAATTTTGAGCCATCTAAAGAACAGATTGATGCATGAAACACTAATGATTGAAGACCAGGAGAGTTGTGGGATGACATCAAGAGGATCATATATGAAGAAAGCAAAAGGTCATTAAAAAGACAGGTAAGAAAGAAGAACCACAGTGGATGGCTGATAAGACTCTGAAACTTGCTCTAAAACACAGAGTAGCTAAAGCAAATGGAAGAAATGAAGTAAAAGAGCTGAACAGAAAATGTCAAAGGTGTGCTAGTGAGGACAAAGTTAAGTTTTACAATGCAATGTGCAAAGATTTAGAGTTAGAAAATTGAAAGGGAAGAACACAGCATTTCACAAGCCGAAAGAACTGAAGAAAAAATTCAAGCCTTGGGTTCTAATATTGGAAGACTGTATGGGAAAAATATTGAACAAAGCAGGAAACATCAAAAGAAGATTGAAAGACTACCCAGTCATTGTAACAAAAAGAATTGGTTGATGATAAACTAATTCAGGAGGTAGCATATGATCAAGAACCGATGATATTGAAGAAAAAAGTTCAAGCTGCACTAAATGAACTACTGGAAAAAGGCTCCAGGAATTGACCGAGCACTGATTGAAATGTTCCTAATCTTGTATTATTTTGGCTCTCA